TGAGGAACACCAAGTACAAGTCAGCGCCTGCTGCCGAGAAGAAGGTGTCCACGAAGGGCAAGGGCAGGAGGCACATCTTCAAGCTGAAGAATGTACGGTGGCCTTACTGGGGGTTCTCTGGGGTGGGACGTGGCGGGGATCTTTGGGGGAGCGCAGACCTGCATGTCCCACTCGCCCATCGACCCATCCCGGGCTCCAGGGTTGATTTTCTGTGTTCTTTCTGTAGCCCATCAAGGCTCCTGAGTCTGTATCCACTATAATTACGGCGGAATCAATCTTTTATAAGGTACGCTTTGTGCAAAAAGGGATCTTGTTCTGTGTTTCTCATCTCTGAAATTACCTGGGCCGGTGACGGCACTGGGGATGTGTTCGCAGAGTGTTCTTCCTCTTCTCTTCCTCTTCCTCTGGTGTAGGGTTTTGCACTGCCCTGTGTCATTGCTGTTAAGTTTTGCAAGGTCGTTTTTCACTGTAGTGTACAGATGTCATTGCCCTCCCCCCTTTTGTTTTTTCTTCCTAAAAGACACACCTCGTTTCTTTAGTAATTTTTTGCAAATGGGTTTTTTAACCTTTCGGCTTTCACTGGGCAGAGGTCAAGTGAAAGTGGCTCTAGCTGATGGCTGATGTTTGTGCGATGTTTCCTGCCCTGGGCACAGAGGATATGCCTGTAGAGGGGATGGGTTGTGCCACCCAAACATCCGAGCTGGTCCCCGTTTCGAAGCTGGGCACAAGCAGACTCAAACACCCTGGGAACAAGCTCTGTTGACTGTGGCAATGAAAGCAGAAGGTAACCTTCTTGCCTTTGTGTTAGAGAGCCTTTTTACCAGCGTGCCAAGGTGCTAGTGAAGTCCTGAAATTTGGTTTTGTTTCCTGATAGTAGAGGCAAACCATTTGACCTGTCTTTTCGCCCAAAGAAAAGCTCAGGATAGCCACTGGGACAGTGCCTAGCCAGAGGAGAAGTTGTAGACTGAGCTTCTGTGTGCTCTCCAGAGAACCGGTGCTTTGCTTCTCACATCCGGGATGCATCTGTGTTTATTTCAGCAGAGAATCAATGTCTTTTCTTGCATGTTACTGTGTTTTGGGACTCCTTTGCATTTAGCTGAGCAGACTTCATACAGAGAAAGCAGCTTTCCCTGCGTGCACGGGGAAATTCCTGCCGTTACTTTTCCTGGAACAGAGGAACATCTCTGCCCTGCAGGCAGGAGACGTGGCAGTCCTGGGAGGGGGTGCAGAGCAGGTTGGGGCGCTGTGTCTTTGAGCACAGGCCAGGCCAGGTTGCTGCTCAGGGCTGGAGCTCAGTGTACAAGCGGTGCTGGTGACAGCTCAGGGTGACCGCGCTCTGCCTCGCACCACCTTGCTTCTGCACGGGCCTGAGTTGAGGCCACCTCCTGAGACAGGGGCAATAAATTTAAGGTACTGATCGTTAAGATACTCGGGACTGGGAATCGCAGAGTGAAGCTTGTGCAATTAGGTTTAGTGATCATTTGTATGTTTTTCAGGGTGTCTACTACCAAATTGGAGATGTTGTTTCGGTGGTTGATGAGCAGGATGGAAAAACATACTACGCCCAGATCCGTGGGTTTATTCAGGACCAGTACTGTGAGAAGAGCGCTGCGCTGACCTGGCTCCTGCCTACGCAGGCCAGCCCCAAAGACTGTTTTGACCCGGCATCCTATATCATAGGTAAGCTCTAAGCCTTCTTTTTATATACAACTGGGTGTGTGTGCTTAGAGTAATGCAGAGTTGTAATTTTTGAATTAATATTTTTTAGTTGGTTAAGATCTGTTATGTGTTTTCCACATTTTAGACCCTAATCGCATCAGCATCCCGTTTACTTGAATGACCTTTTTGTTTATGTGACGCATGTAATTTGAGTGGCACTGCAGCAGCAAGCGCCACTGAGTATTCGTGCTCACAGGCACAGTTATAGGCTTGCCATGGTAAGCATCAAACTATTTTCCACAGACAGAATCAAAGTTATTACAGTGTAAACCTGATACACCAGTCCAAGCTGTTTCTTTTGAAGAGACCTGAAGTGGCTCGCCTTCATCTTGGCTAGTTAAAATATATAGCGTGCGAGCAGCGGCAAAGAGTGCTCTGCTGCTGATTAGGAAATGATTAATAACTTGGAAAAGTCCTTCTGACAGGCAGGCCACAGATAGTATCTATTGAAAATAAATTGCCTAAGGTACTTCACTCAAATAACTGAATGCTTCAAATGGGAGGAAAGAACGAAATAACGCAAAAATAAAAGTAGAGGTTTCCTGCCTGGTTCTTGAGGCTAATTTGCCAGGAAAGTCATGGATGGACCAGGTGCATTCTCTAAGGGATGTTGGCCATGTTGCCTGTTTTTAAGTCCTGCATACTCCAATTTTATACCTTTAGATTTTGTCTTTGAAAAATAGTTCTTGTTTTTTTTTCCCTAGGACCAGAAGAAGATCTCCCAAGGAAGATGGAATATTTAGAATTTGTCTGTCATGCACCTTCAGAATATTTCAAGTCTCGATCATCTCCCTTCC